CCCCCCCCCCTGCTTTCTCTTCCACTCTAAAAATCAATGGAAAAAAACATCATCAGGTGAGTATTAACAACAACAACAAAAAGTGGTCCAGACTAATGAGGATGTCTTTGCAACCAAAGATCGCCAACTCCTACTATCCCAAGAAATATGTATGAAGATTAGATATTCTATACTTCTACTTTAAGAAGTATGATCATATAGACCTTTGTAGGGCGATCAGATGTTGGCCAGAATCCTTTTCCTCCCTCCTTGACCTTTCTATTGTTGTCATTGTTATTTAAAGTAAGAAGTGGTTTAGCTTTGCTCTGAAACAGGTCTAGATTCAAGTTACATACTAACTTGGACATTCACTTAACCCCTCTGAGTCTTTTCTTGCCTGTCACGTGGAGCAGTGATATCCACCTACTTCAAAGGGTTGTGTGAGAAAGAATCAAAAGATCCTTGTAAAATGCCAGGCATAAGTGCTCAATAAATGAGGGCAATGGTGATGACGGTGGTAAATTTTAAGCGTCAAGACAAATAGAAATATTCCTAAAATTCAGTTAATGTTGAGCCTAATTTTATTCTATGTTTATTTTATGTTTTGACTTCACTATGAGGTACCTTGCTTCGATGCAGTATAACACATGATTAACAGTAATGCATGACTCACCAAACATTGTAATCTCCCTGATTCCCTGGAAGTGCTCTAGTGTCCAGAGATCAGTTAAGGAAAGACCTGTCACTCAGACACGCCACTGTTCTGGAAGGGATTGTTGGGAGTTGTAGCTATTCTGATTTCGCTACATATTCCTTCATATTTTATGCTTTACAATTTGGGGCAACTTTTCCTAGAGAAGTCAGAAGTGCACTCAGTGTGTTAGTTTCTTTGGATAATGGTTTTGTGACAACAAAAGTGTCTTTCTACTTTCAGCTGAAAGGTATTGTCTTTGAATTTTCAGAATTTTAAAATAAAGGCCTCTGAAGTAACCTTAAATTCTTCAAGAGAATGGAGAGTTAAAAAGTTGTAAAAGAGCCTTTACCAAACAGTGACTAATTAAAGGCCAAACTATTTAAATGAAGAAATAATTCCTAGAGAGACTTGCTCTCACTCTCCCTCCTTGTTCTTACCCCTCCTCCCAAATTTGTATATTTTGGGGGTGACCCTAAGGCCCTGGCAGGGAATTTGGAAGAGATTGTCATGAACAAAAATGGATACTGTTTGGCTAACATAAACCATGTGCGGCAGAAAAGATCTCTTGTATCTCTCATATCTCTGACACTTTCCACAGTACTTAGTAGGTACTCAGCAGGTACTCAATAAAAATTAGATAAATGAATGACTTAATATTTCAAAAGTCTGGCCAAAGTATACTTCTCATGTAAATCTGGGGCAGCTGCAGTTAGAAAATCCACTAACATGCAAAATCTCATGAAGACAAAAGAGGCCGTATTACCTATACTTGTGTCTCAGTTTCTGGCCTTCCCTTTTGCTAAAGCAAGAAACAGCTGATCTGCCATTACTGACTCGAAGTCTTACCTTTATGTGTTTTCTTGATTGAGATAACTGTAAAAGCTGATGCTTTTTATGGTTCTAAATAACAAGTCTAAGGAAATGTATTGATTTCATTTTGCCATGAATAGGAAGTTTCCCTGCCCCCGCCCCCAGTGTTCTAACAGTAGAGGCGATTTGAATGTAAACCTCAACATTCCCCTCAAGTCACAAAGACATAGTAAACATACATTTAACCTTTCTTCAGCCATTTATGATTAAGGAGATTAAGGATTGCGTATTGATTTGACTCTAAAATGTTTTTGTCATGCTCTAAGAACTGTATCCTAGACTTTGGAGGGAAAAGATTTTGCCAGAGTTAGTTGGCAAAGGCATTTGTGTTGGCTTGAAAAACAATAAGCTAATCACTGAACAAGTCCTTTAAAAACAACTTGATTAATGCTTGGAAAGAAATCCTTACTGAAAATATCCATTACATGAGTCCAAATACAATAAAACTTTGCAGATCATGAGCAAGTCCTAGTCACTTTTGGCAATTATTGTTTGGTAGACAAAACCCACAGTGTCAAATGGTCTGTGTGCTATCCTTTGGCACTCCTACCTCACCATAAATCAGCACATGTAGTTAACTCCTAATTACATTTATTTCCACATTTCTCTGGGACAGTTAAATTCTATAATACCGAGAAGATGACATTACACACTGTAGCAGATTTCCCTAATGTCTCTTCTCAGTTGGCTAGCAGATGATGTCAGAGCCCTGCCCACATTCCCTCTGAATTCACTGTGTCAGTGCCTGCTGGCAGCTTCTAACTTCAAGCACCTGTGAAGGTCCGAGGACTTTTTCTGGCTTTGGGAGCATGCCTGACTCATGTGAAGTAGACCAGAAGGGTCTGGGAGTTAGCACCCCTGGGAGCAACCCTCACCCACTAACAGATGAAAGTTGGTGAAAAAATAGCCCAGCTTTCTCACAGTTTCAGGGAGGCAACTCTTCATGTGATCTTCCAGAGGTGCCCAAGATAATGAGCTCCAGCCACTCAGACCGATAACTGATCTACTCATTAACAGTTCCACAGGTTTCCTTCCCTTCCTGCCTCACTTCCCTGCTCCACTCCCAGTGCTCGCAGAGATCACCTCCTAAATAAACTAATCGCACAGATCCTTG